TTATACAAGCATTATATTTAGTCTTACGCACGTATAAATTAACAACATATTTGTTGAAACAACAGACACAGCGCCTGTCAAGAAAAGTCTGTTGCAACTTTTGCCGAGTTTTATAACAGGACGAGGGTAGAATTATTTTTCGGTCGTTGGATGAGTAAACTTAACGGCTCTCTTGACGTAAAGTGGTGACCGGGGCCCATGGACATCAAAATATGAATGCCGTCAGCCAACGTGAGATATAAAGTCAAAATCTCTGTGTATTGTCGGTTGCCAGACTCCCGTCTGAGTGTATATGGAATAGCTCCGTAGACCACCATCGCTTTAGTAGGAAAAAAGGCTGCACGCTGGCTTATGCGAGGATGCAATACGCCTCAAAACCAGAAACATATAAAGAAACATTAATACATATAGATTGGTTGTTTCTGGAATTAGTAGTACCTACTGTTATTTTTAATTATCACACCTTTGTTTTGCTTTGAAATGAGCTTGCCACACTCCCGTCTGAGCGTATTTAAAATAGCTCCGTAACCCGGCAACGCTTAAGTAGGCAAAAAGACTGCACGCTGGCTTATGCGAGGATGCAATACGCCTCAAAACCAGAAACATATAAAGAAACATTAATACATATAGAATGGATTTTTCTGGAATTAGTAGTAGGTACTTACTGTCATTCTTCCTTAACTCACCTTTGTTTTGCTTTGAAATTATCTTTTCTGTTTCACTGCGTAGTTATTACATAAATACACCTACTTAGATAATAGGAATACAATATTCTAAAAACGAACCTGCTTTTGTAGAATTATAGCGAAAGCATTATAGTTCTGAGTGTTCGGCGTTGGTAATGACAAGATCGGGAACAGTATAGAAATCATACGAATGTAATTAAGATCACTACCGAGAGATAAGCTGTGTTTTATACTATACATTCAAATCAAATCAAATCAAATCAAATCAAAAAAGTTTTATTCAACATAAATGAAAGTACATACTTGTTGAACGTCAAAAGAACTACCGCCAATTCACAAGAACTAGCCTCCGTCCTGAGAAGAATTGGCAAGAAACTCAGCAGGCATGCCTTTTTTTTTTAAATATTAATATTTTTTTTTAATATTAGATTTTTTTTAATATTGATTTTTACAATAAGTAATTATAACATAACAATTATTACAATATTAAAATGCCCGGAGCGAGCAACTCATTCCCACTTTGTGCAATCTTCTATTCAATAGGTAGTGCTCTAAAGAATTGTTAGTGATGATCCTGATATATCTTTTACATCATCACACCGTCCTAATCAGATAGATAAATACTCATATGTCGCCGAATTCAAATGATATGTATACAACATTTTAGTTTATGGAATGCATAGTATTTAGCTCGGGCACGTGTCCATTCGTGTGTATCCGAGGAGTATCTCTATCTCTCCCTAAAACTCGCATTAGGAAGGCTAAAGAATACTGTCCCCCAAGCTTTCGGTAATAAGGGGAGAATTTAATGCAAAATGTAGACTTGTTGGTAATCAGAAGACTTGGTGGACAAGCCAATGACAATGTGCATTAATGACAGTCACTGGTAAATGATAAAATGAAATAAAACTGACTTTAATTACTTTTTAATCAATGAGTTTTAATTACGCATAATGTTTAGTTTCAATAAAATTTCTAATTTTACAAGTAAAATTTTTACATGTTTTGTTAATTTACACATTTAATTATTACATAAATTACAATTATTCCTTATAGGTACTAAATCTGAAATTGGCTAAAAACGTTTTCGTAAATTTTTATAAAGGTTATTGTTATGGCAACAAAATAAATGCACTGGTGTCTACGTATTATGGCTTCTTATTTAAAAGTGTTCAAAAAAATTAAAATGAATGTGATTAAATTACAAAAAAACACGATTAAAAACATTATATTCCGATTTACAAAAAAAAGTGCTACTATAGTCATTTAAATCTATTATAACATTCCGTTCGTGCTACCTTGACCGTGGTCGCGATAAGACTGATGTAAACTTTTCGTTAACCACCCGCAATTTAAATTTAAAAAGAATGAGCGATAAAATGGCGTTCTTTGGCGTGGAATAAATCGATAAATCGAAGTCCATATTAAATTACACCATAATGAATTATCGTGATCGCGTTCAATGTTAATTAATTTTAAAGTTGGTACATGACTGAATATAAAACAATTTTTTGGTTTATCGTCGTGATTATTTAAATTGTATCTGAAGCCTTTGAGATTGGTTAAGAGATTTTAATCGACAAATGAAAAATATAATATGTTTAAAAAAAAACATTATTTTAATAATTTTTTTAAGTGTAATATAATGATGCATTTTTTTAAATGTCAAAATGTAGGGCAGTGTTAAGGTTGTGTCAGCTGTGGTGTATCTTACATCCATAGACACAGCCCACTGAGTTTCCCGCCGGAACTTCTCAGTGGGTCGCAATTTTGATCCGGGAGTAGATTCTACACTGCTTTTACTAGGGTTAGTATTATCAAATTCTCTGTTTGACCCTGTGAGCTCACCTACAAGTCTACACGTAGCTGGGTAGCCTCAAGCTACCAGTGAATAGGTAGGATCAAAAATATCTTACACGGCGTGTCTGGCTAAAACGCTTTCCATCTCCTTCTGCTGCGAGCGTTAGAAGATGATGAAGAATCCATCGACTTTCCTTACCGTTATCGGCTGTTGAAAATCTGTATGAAAACGTGTGCCTATCAAGGGGTAGTTACATTTTGGAACATGGAAACATCGTGTAATGTGCAACTTAAGAAATCGTGTCTATGGCGTGAGATTTAGTGAAAAACCTGATTAAGCAAAATACTTTAAGAAAATTACATAACCATTATATTCAATTTGCATTAAAGTTAATTAAGAATAATTTTGACGTTATAAATTTAATTATAAATACTACGTGCTATATTTACATTTCGATAGCCTAAATCGTTGTAGTTTTGTTTTGGACTATTTTTTGTTGGCCATCACCCTGTCCCGTTCGCTCTTCACTCCTTTATGCTGTGTGCGAGCTGGACAGATCGATGTTTACATTTTTCGTCTAATTAAATAGGTACTATCTATATTATTGTACAACATTTAAAATACTTCTTACGTTTTCACAATCGTTCCTAATTTAAAATCGTTCGACGCTCAGCTTGTATTAAACAAGTTTTAATGAGAATCTTCTGGAATAAAGATTTACAAATTCGTTATTATTTATTTTGACATAGTAATTCATATAACAGAATCTTTTACAGAACTATCGTGTATGTCGAACAAATATCTGGTACGTGTGACAATTGTACCAACTAATGTATTGTTTATTTTATGAGTCCTCCGAGATTGCACATGTACATCAAACGTGAATCATAGATAAGGTTTTTTTATTTTTTATTGCTTAGATGAGTAGACGAGCTCACAGCCCACCTGGTATTAAGTGGTTACTAGAGCCCATAGACATCTACGACATAAATGCGCCACCCACCTTGAGATATAAGTTTTAAGGTCTCAGTATAGCTACAACGGCTGCCCCACCCTTCAAACCGAAACGCATTACTGCTTCACGGCAGAAATAGGCAGGGTGGTGGTACCTACACGCGCGGACTCACACGAGGTCCTACCACCAGTAATCACGCAAATTATAATTTTGCGGGTTTGGTTTTTATTACACCATGTTATTCCTTCACTGTGGAAGTCAATCGTGAACATTTGTTAAGAACATATTTCATTACAAAAATTTGAACTCGCCTGCGGGATTCGAACAATGTTGCATCGCTAGATACGAATGCACCGGACGTCTTATCCTTTAGGCCACGAGGACGACGAATAATAAACGTTACGTGTAATAGAAAAAAAAACGATAGTACTTTTGTAACCATTGACATATATGTATATATATCGATGCTTGTAACAATATTTATAGTAAGACTAATGACAGTGACTGATACTGTCTCGTTCCAACACACCGGATTGGCGATAAGCGAACGCGGGACACACAAAGATTGACTATTTGCATTTGAAATTTCATTGAAACTTTTTATAATAATTAATTTGTCGAACATCGTAATTCTGTTATCGGTTAGTTTACTTACGACGTTATTTTATAGCTTTTGGAAACTGAGCATTGAACTAAAAGAGATAAAAGGAACTTCGACGTGTCTTTGACAGCTGACTGCCAGTGTAGATTGATGTCTTAGAAAAAAATACTTCAGTTCTTATTGGGTAAATCTTGTGGCGCGACCGGATTTATGGAATTTGGTCCAAATGTACCTACAGTTTAATAGGGTACAGACAGTTCGAAGCGGAGAAATATACATGAAATTAAGCGAGAAAGGCTCTATGTTTTTAGGGTTATATACACCGATAATTGGGTCGGTAGTTTCACATTAAGCTACAACGCATTTTGCTCTAAGGTCTTCACTGGGTTTATCGTCATTAGAAGCAGAACGCAAGTCTTGACCAAAACCTGACGCTCATATGTACTATGCCGAAACCTTACAGCCAATAAGTGTGTCGCAACCTTAACGAGAACTGGCCATTACACATCTCGACTCGTGTATGTCTGGTCATGTTTGAATATAACAAAAAAATGTTTAAAACCAAGTAAACATTGGCGATATTAAAGTACAATGACCTATATAAACAATCTTATTATATATATTTAAATAACTAATTTGAAATTCTGTACATATCGCTACATACTTACTGCGACGGCCGCCAGTGCCACTAGAACCTCAAAAACAATTAATAATTTGTACAACGCACCAACAAAACAGTTAAAACTTATTCTAACATAGTACATATTGACACTAGTCTAAAATTCTCAAGTTTCGAAAGTATAATAATCTATGGTCGATCGTAGTCTATGGTCTTTGAACAGTTGACATTGACGTATCTAATAGTTTGACATTAACAAGGTACATTCATGTGTTTTTTGTTTGTGTGTGCATGTAGATTATTTTTTTATCCAGTCTGAATTATGAGTGAGCATGTCACATACATACGCATAATATGTTACTTTTAAACAAAATAACATTACATATGAAATCCTCAAATGAGATTCAATCAATAAAAAAACACTCGATTTTCGTCATTTGAGAAAAGCTCTCTCGCTATGACGTCATCATGAGCGCTATAAAAGCACAACAACTTCAACATCTCAAAAAACAAATAACAACACTGATCATGAGCAGTCAGTACATTAAGTGTCTGGTCAAAATATGACAGTCAACGGTCTCCGAAACTCCCCCGCTTGGGTGCTCTGGGCGTATTGGCCAGGATATTGCGGCATCAGGATACTTGATGACCCTTGGTAGTATGGCAGGGATGGCGATGGATTCGATCCTGATGATGTACTGCCTTCAGTCCTTTCCTGTGCTTTGGCCATGTCCGGAGACTCTGCTGGAGACCTGGGCGATAAGCTGGACGGAGCTGAATTAACAGAGTTCAGACCGGCCATGGCGGCTGAAGCCTCAGTGTACATCTTGCTGATGTCCACGGGATATCTCTGCTGTTGCTGGTCCATATACATGTAGGCCTTGGACAAGGCTGCCGAATCCAGGTAGCCTCGTGAAGGATCCGGGTACATTCCGTAACTCCTGTACTTTTCAGCTTCTATGGAGTATTTCGACATGTCCATCGATGCACTGACCTGTAACAATAAAGGGAAATTATTGTCAAGAATTACTAATCGAATTTTGTGGGGAAAATTGAAAATGAAGCGGTATTTTTAAATCTAACCCAAGTACATGATGGTATAGAAATCAATACCCTTAATTATGCCAAAAAATTGGCAATATCACTGACTCCTTTCAATTTACTGCGAACTTATTTTTTTTATTACTTAGTTTGGTGGACGAGCTCACGGTCCACCTGATGTTAAATGGTTACCGGAGCCCATAGACATTTACAACGTAAGTACCGCCACCCACCTTGAGATAGGAGTTTTAAGGTCTCAGTATAGTTACAACGGCTGCCCCACCCTTCAAGCCGAAACACATTACTGCTTCACGGCAGAAATAGGCAGGGCGGTGGTACCCACCCGCGCGGACTCACAAGAGGTCCTACCACCAGTAAAATGTAAAAAATATGTATGCGTTGAATGCGTGAATTATTTTATAATCACACTGTTTCAGATTATGAAATTGCAAAAACACAAAGACCTTATACTTTAAACGATAAGATATAAATTGGCATGATAACATATACGTCAAATGTGTATGTGATAAATTCAAGCCCACAAATCAAAAGCTATAAAGGAAACGTGTAAAGGTTTTGAATTATTTTTTATTCGGTAATTTTTAATGAAGTGAGCCCAATACGTTAATATCAGGGAAATATCGTTTGAATATTTTACACACGGTCCTGCGGTTCGGCGAAAAAATAAGATACGCCTAATTTAATTCAACGAGGTCATAATATATTCAATCGCGATTCGTATTCATAATATATCATAATACACGGTCGGCTCGGTAGTCGATCAAAATCTAAAAAATAAAACAGGAAAGTGAACCAAACACACTAATCCCCTCATTAATGGAATTAAGTGGGGGTTAATGGAAGATATTGAAAACATATAGAAAACCCCCGAAGGAGTCTTTGTAACCTAAAATATAAAGAGACTAGAATATAAGTGTTTTATCTATATTATTTTTTTAAAAGAACCAAGAATCCTGAGTTGGCAATAAATGAACAAAGGCATCCATCCAACCCGACGGTATTATGTGAGACATTGCTCAAGTTTAGACTCGAAGGCTCAGTTACATTTCAAAGAACTGTGGGATTTTCTTCGTAGCTGGTAAGTCACGATAGCAGGAATGACTCGTACCAACTCCCAACTTACATTTCCACTAGTGAGAGAATCACAGAGAAAGAGTGATGGGAAAGCAGTTTAGTCGACGTGGCCTAACGGATAAGACGTCCGGTGCATTCGTGTTGAGCGATGCACCGGTGTTCGAATCCCGCAGGCGGGTACCAATTTTTCTAATGAAATACGTACTTAACAAATGTTCACGATTGACTTCCACGGTGAAGGAATAACATCGTGTAATAAAAATGAAACCCGCAAAATTATAATTTGCGTAATTACTGGTGGTAGGACCTCTTGTGAGTCCGCACGGGTAGGTACCACCACCCTGCCTATTTCTGCCGTGAAGCAGTAATGCGTTTCGGTTATACCTGACGCTATAATAAAGGCAAAAGCACAGAGAAGACAGGGACATGGAATTTGATGCAAAATCAACTCTTCAAGGAAAATTCGGACTAGACACGACCTTTAGCAGTATAGATCTATGTACATATTTATACTGACAGAAATTAATGAAAATAAATTTTATTGATGGACAACCGAGCCGGCGGTGTGTATAGCACGTTAACGCACAACATACGGTCCTCGGTCACGGGCGGCGCGCTAAATCAGGATTAGAGTCGGACACCGCGACATCACCTACCAGGTTTTATGCCTTTTGCCGCTTCCAACTATTTTATTGCCGGCCATTTATACAGCCAGTTCATTTCGAATTGGCCCTTTTACCCTTTCTTCGTTTCAATGCTTTGCTGTTTGAATTTGGAATAGATGCTCAAGGAATTCTTCGTTTTTAGAGTTTGCATCGTAATGTTATTGAACTAACTATTGTAAGTGTTTTTATACAATTTAAATTTCGATATTATTATTGCTGTTACATTTTATTACATGCCTATCTTTACGTCACTTGATGAGTGGACAAGCTCACGGCATTACGACAACACTACTTAATATTATTTTTTTGTTAAACGCTATTTTGCCCTTTTTATTGTTCCTAGTGGTCCCCAGTAGTTGAAAGTCGACTATAATTGATTGGAATTATAAGTTTTACCATTATTAAGGTTGTATTGTCAAAGACTATTTATTATATGTACTTCTATATCACAGGTTTTGCCAAGACTACACTTTAGACAAATATTAATAAAGACAAACAATATTTAATCTACTCTCAGTTTGACCACAGACAGCAATAAGAAAAGTTTGATATTAAACAAACAGTATGCATGCGTGTGTGTGTTAAATACATGCTAGTGTGTGTAATGTTTTTTTATTGATTTAATTTATATTTTTGGCATAATTTAAAAAAGAAATTGACATTCTGAACCCCTTCTCTATATTGGCTATAAGTGTGAGAAATTTCATACTCCTCCGTCCGCGCGATTTTCGTAAAAGGGGGTACAAAGTTTTTGCTTCACGTATTAATATATAAATTGCACGATATTACTTCTCATCGTGGTAATGTTAATACAAACTTGGTATCTTGTGCTGGATCCGAACAGCGACGTAGTCTCCATTGGTGGATACGAGTCGATCGGCTGTCTCATCCTTTAATACCGTTCTAATGGCGACCTAAAGCCCTAAATTACCTCTATTCTTCAATATTACACAAACACTAAATGTTGCTTTTGGATTTATTGAACGTAAACACGGATCGAAAGAGCGCCACTTATCCCGCAACGTTTAGAAAGATGATTTCACACTAAGTTATCGAATCGACGAACTAATGAGTCCACTACCTCGACCGACGGACACGCACACATCATCAATCAACATAATCGAATATACAGAATCACAATGGTTCGTTAAAAAATACGAAAAACGCCAATTCACTATATTTAATACGGCGCAGGTAAAACGTGTTAATACTTTACTTGCTGGGCATATTTGTGGTACGCTAGGTCTTGTGACGTCACTGTTTTATTGGCTTACCAATTGCTGACAGATTCGCGCTAGTACTCGTGAGCACACTTCAAACCAAATTCATAAAGCTGATAGATATTAGTCGGGATAACGTTTTTGGTTTTTAATTTTAGACCTAATAATTAATAGAGGTGAAACCATCTGAAAATACTCGTAGTATATAGCATCATTCATATTTTAAAATAGAAAATAGCATTGAATTATTGGTGTAATAATGAGAATAAGTTATTAGAGAGAACTGAAAAAAAAAATTTTTTTACAAAGTTTCTTTTCATGACACAGTATTGTGTATGATCTACCACCATCCTGCGTGATTCAGTCATGTTCCATTGTGCGTATTGTATTTGCTTTTGTTTGGCACGATCTCACAGCCTAACTGATGTTAAGCAATCTCCAATAACTGCAATATATGTGTCCACATCAGCAGCATAAGATCGAATTGAAATTGGTAACTGCATCGGTTAAAAAAAAACATTTTACCACAAAAATAATAACTAAAAGTCTTCACGTGCAACGGTGTTTGGATCCCGCAGACAAATGTTCACTTCCACGGTGAAGGATGGTGTAATAAAAATCAAACCCGCAAAATTATAATTTACATAATTATTGCTAGTAGGACCTCTTGTGAGTCCGCACGGGTAGGTACCACCACCCCGCCTATTTCTGCCGTAAAAAGTAATGCGTTTTGGTTTGGTTTGTTGGGGCAGCTGTAAATATACTGAGACCTTAGAACTTATATCTCAAGGTGGGTGGCGCATTTACGTTGTAGATGTCTATGGACTCCAGTAACCACATAACACCAGGCGAGCTAGTCCACTCATATAAGCAATAAAAAAAAACACGTACTTAAATGACGTCACTAAACATAACGTACTCATAGTATACCCGAACGCTACCGTTGAATGGCAACTGATTATTTTGTTTCGCGAGTTTAGGGCACGTTTCTCGATACGTTAATCGAATGATTGAGAAAAAAAAAAGAAAGAACCAAAAACTGCTATTTCATTCGCTAGTTCGGGAGTCTATTAGGCGGCACAAAGGGCGTGATCGATAGCCTCCCCGCCGGGACCCGCTACCGGAGGCCTTCGATCGTTTTAATTAAATGATATATCCCCAACGGAACCGATGAAAAACTTATTAGATATTATGTGGGCGTGAAATACTGATACATAACGCCGATACGTTTCGGGGTACAATTAGTAATGTATTACAGCTTCACCAGTTTCAATTTGACTTCGCGTTGTAATCTGTAAATTATGTGGGCGGTGTATTTCGGTACCAAAGTTATTATTGCCCTAACAAAATAGCTACCTTTAAAGCATCTGTGAAAACTATACGAAAAAACATGATAATACAAATGGGACCAGAGCTGGTACTACATATAAATGCTTGTATTCATATGTTTATTATAAAAAAATATTTTATTTATTGCTTAGATGGGTGGACGAGTCACCTGGCCCACTTGGGAGCCCATAGATATCTACGACGTAAATGCCATCATCTACCTCGAAACACGAGTTCTAAAGTCTCCGTTACTCTTACAGTACAATGGCTACCCCACCCTTCAAGCCTCATTACTGCTTCACGGCAGAAATAGGCAGGGAAATGTATATATTTTGAAGTCTATTCATCGATAATGACGATTGGCGCCCATTCTTATCTAACGACGTCACAACGTTCGCTTTTCTCACACAAAAATCTGATGCAACTTCACCAGACAGCCAATATCCAGAATCCAAAGTCAAACCGCGGTCTCATCCACAAACTTTGGATTGAATACAGCCCAATGAAATCCAATTTCTCATTTCAATAACAAAAATCAATTATAAAGTGAAAGCTAACATGCATTACAATTATTAATGCAGTTAATCGATTGAGTTACAGATAACCCATATTTCGGAATGCTTTTAATTTTGCCATTCAAAGTACGATATTAGAATTTGACGCGTGATAATTTGGTCCCTACCTCGAAATTATATCGATGTTTTTCTTGTATCCATCTATATTAATATACGATTAACTATAAGTGTGCTTAGTGCGAGTTTTTTAACGTTCTCGATAGCGTAAAAGTTAACTCAAATTTCTATCGAGTTGGAACATTTGCCTACGTTTGCCTCTAGGGGTGCTGTTACAAATGCCTACAAATTTTAAACTTAAAAAAACTCGCACTAAGTACGCAGCATGTGTAGCGACATATTTTATCTCTGCGACAGTTGACTTACAATTACCATACCCGACCAAAGCTTATACAGTGCTTAGACGACTGTACATTCTTAAAAGTTCAAGTGTTGTACTTTAGCTTGTACTTTTACTAATCGGAAGTATAATTAATGTCATGTCAAATTTAATTGACAGTTTTTGAGCAAATTGACATAATGGTGACACAGTGTCCCTTTATGTTTAGCTGTTGATGTCCAAAATTATTAAAGAAAAGTTTTAGACGTTGAGCTGCAATTATCGCTAAAGAAGTTAATCAGGCGCGTTTATCACATGCATAAAGAACTATATTACGGGTTTGATTTTTATTACACGATGTTATTCTTTCAACGTGGAAGTCAATCGTGAACATTTGTTAAGTACGTATTTCATTAGAAAAATTGGTACTTCCGTGAACATTTGTTAAGTATGTATTTCATTAGAAAAATTGGTACCCGCCTGCGGGATTCGAACACGGTTGCATCGCGCGATACGAATGCACTGGACGTCTTATCCTTTAGGCCACGACGACTTCAAAATCATAATGAACATACTCGTTTCGTTGAAGTTTAATGCGATTTCATCACGCCTCGTCTGATCGAGTGCAAACAGTGAACCGCCCCCGCTAAACATTTACGTCACAGACATAAGATTAAACGTCACACGAGAGGGGAAGATCGAGGAGTTTTTAAATCGAGGGCTGGTTTAGGGATGACGGAAACTTTTAAACGAAAAATAGTTTTTTAATAAAAATATGTACCAGCGCGACGCGTCAAATACTTTAGAGTTTTTTGGGATTACAATAGAAGAATATATGGTTCGTCATTGAACGTCTCTGGCGATGACTTACCTGGGGAAAGTCCTGAAATATTGTTTTATAGAAAAATAGACGGTAGTTTCCACAATATTCAAATGTCGACAAATAACTACAACTAATAATTATTATCTAGGAAATACAAAGAAGAATATATTTCGGAAACATTTGAGATATACGAGTGAATACCCAAAGATTGAATGTCAAATATCTTAAGTAAAAATGCTGATTTTGACCGCAAAATTTAATCCAGATCCAACAAACAAGATTCCTGTATCCACGAACCTTCGCTACGTTCAAATGCTGCTACTAAAGTCCTCTTTACCGACACATGTCACTTTTTGAGCTTAGGAGTTGCATGTACTGAAAGCAAGGAGGTCTTTCTGTGTCGAAGGTCAAGTACCAACCGTTAAAGGTCCGGAAGTATCACAGTAGTACCTAGTCAAAGGTAATTAAAGCACTGTGAATATTACTACGGTAGTCTGAAGGTTTCAACCCTGAGACGAGGGCCGATTGCGTAGGTTCAATTGTCTAAGTAGTATGTCAAGTGTAGTGTTTTAATGGGGATTATTTTGTTAGGGGCAGTTTTGGGGTTGTGAAAATGATGTATTACGATTTGTGGAGAATTGAATTATGATGAGATTAATGTCTGGCAACGAAGGTTACGGTTAGTGGTTTTTGCTAATTTTGTGGAGTAGACTATTAAATGACCTGGATGATGTTACGAGGTCATCGTAACTAACCTACGTGAATTGTTTCGAACCTACATCCATAAATTCATCAGTGCACACATTTTCCGTTTGAATTTGATACATAGCGTATGTATCATCTTCTCTATTTCTGCCTTAGATCAGTGAAGCGTTCCGTTTTTAAGCGAGAAAATTGTTTTACAACAATTTTGCATTGCAACAACATTGAAATTTTGACCCTATATTTAAAAAATAGTGACGATATTCTATGTGTGATCTCAATAGTCTACAGTAGTCACTGTGCGACAGATGGGTACTAACCACCCATTTACTCCAATAATATAAAACAATAAATCTTCAATGAAATCGATTCGGAACTTTAGCGTAATAATGGTATCAGTAATAATGTTCCGGTACTTATTGTCAGTAATAAAATAAATTATTATCCATTAGACATTAATATTAAGAACACGAAAACACATAAACAGACATACGATTAATAATAAGGTACATTTCAAAAGCTTGTGCAAAGATTAATGTACGCTATGAATGTATTCATCCGAATATTTCCGGATAATACCGGTTTAGGGTTGTCATTCTTTTGATGAAATAATTTTTGACATTTATATTCCTTTTTTTATCTTCGGGTTGAGAGTTTTGATACGTCAGTAGTATCCCTTTGTGTCTTGCAGAGGGTCTATAGTCGCGGGTTTTAGTTTTAACGTGCGTGAAAAACTTGACTTATCCTTTTGAAGCTAAGCAGCTATCGGATTCGAGCTACGGAATAGTTTTCAATACAAAATAGCTAAGTACCATTTTTTATATTTCCAACCGACTTTTTTTTCTGTGAATATTTGGAAAAAAAATCTCCTAAGTATCTTTTTCGCATTAGCTTCTCAAGGCAGGTTGTCAAGCATATTTTTTTTTAATTATATTAGGAACTATTGAAGAGTCAACGAATCAAAACACAAAAACTTTATACATAGATACAACGGATCGGAGTTTTGAGGTCTCAGTTGCTATGATCGACTTTCCATCATTAGACGAACACCATAGATACCAAAGTTATCCGTAAAACCAGTTTAAATTCCTTATTGAAATTATATAAATTAAATTACAAATTAATTGACAGCCCTATTCCTCGGCTATTGTTTACGGTTTAAAAGCGACGAGTCGTCACAATATAATTAGTGAGATTCTGTAGTTAGGGGCAATATTCTGATATTCAGCGAATCTCATATACTTCACTCAGTGGTTCAACGATTTTAGCGCGATCATCGGGAGTTGCAATTATTATTGTCCGGGATGCCATTATCATTTTCATTGCCCTTGGAAACTATCGTCGGTCCTACGTGATAACTGTCTGGTTAGTTAGACTATTTTCTTTAAATCAGAGGATCTTGAGGAAGCCTAATACCATTCGTCATGTGAATCCACGCCATACGAGAAAACGATGTTTTTATCACAAAAAAAGGTGAATAAAAATTTGTCTGTATTTTCAATTTAGCAGCGACTATTCCCGATTTTTTTTTTTCAAAAAAAGTTAACCTGAACTAATTTTGCTAAAAATCTAATAAATTACTTTAATGACCTTATCAAGAGTTATTATCGCCGACATCAATCCACAACTGAACGCAGCCTCCGGTATGTCGGGACCTGTTGGTAGCGGCGGCACCATTGAAGATTCATGCGTCAGCAAAATTAAGACAAAATCTTAATTCCATTTATAATATTTTACGACTTTCATAACTGATCGGGGGTAGTTTCAAAAGTATCGTTTTCCAAAAAGAGCGTAAGTGATGTTTATAGCGTTAAGAACCTTTGGGCAATACTTTTAAAAGTATTTTTAATTGAGCGATAATAATATGTATTGTTAGACAATAATTGTTCTAGCACGATCTCCTTATTTCACGCTCAATATTGAATGTTATGATTTTAGTAAAATTTTAGGAAGCGTATGACAAATACTTAAAATTGAATTTTCGATTTATTATTTTGTACCTTATCAAAAGCTTAAACGATCTTAGCACGCTTTTAATGACTTGGTATGCTTCAGAATTTTTGAACGTAATTTTTGTTTCCTTTCAAGAGTTGGACTGAATTGAGACTTCGCACACGTAACAAGGAATTCAAATTGTTTTTTACTTTTTTAGTTCAGCTACTTACAAAAGTGCGCTTATATAGCTTTTATTATTATCTTAGGATCTTATCGTGGGATGGAAAGGTTTATTAGCGACTGCATATTGTGCTGTTGAAGCTATGTTTAATGATGATGAAGCTATGTTATTTTATTATTATTAAAGAAAGAGAACGTCAATTTTTTTTATTGCTTAGAAGGGTGGACGAGCTCACCGCCCACCTGGTGTTAAGTGATCACTGGAGTCCATAGACATCTATAGCTTAAATGCGCCGCCCACCTAAAGATATAAGTTCTAAGGTCTCAAGTATAGTTACAGATCTAGCTGTAAATACATTCTACAAGCAGCTGTCCTTAAGCAAATAAGCGACCTTCGGAAACTCTCAAGCAGTTTCAGCAAATAATCCCCTTGTAAAAGCTGTACAGGACTCCGGGCGATCAACTATCGCTCCCAGAAAATAATCAAGTCGAAAGTATTTTAAGTCTTCTTACCTGAGCATTAGGGGTCAAGGCTGCTGAAATAGCATTCTGCTGAGCAGCGGCTGCGGCGGCTGCCGCCATGCTGGCTCCAAGCGGCCCGTAAGCTGCGCCGTAGTAGCTTCCCATCGCTTGACCCATGCCCCCACCGGCCATACCTATGAACAATTTTTAAAATAATTAAGCCATTCATCGATTAATAACATTCATTAATCTAATTGTAAAATTTTGGTACACGTTATGATTTACTTTTGTTATTTGCTTTACATTCGTAACTTTTAGAAGCACTCGAGAAGAGTTCATACCCGATCCTGTAGACCGAATGGTAAACAGTCGACGTCGCCCAAAGCACGTCATTATGGATCCTCCCGATCCATTAACGGTGCTTTTAGGTACCTCAAGCACTGGTCACCGTCTTCGTCGAACCCGTCGCTTGCGACGAAGGATTCGACGAGCGAATTAACCCATAGACACAGCCCTTGTCGCCGGATCTTCTTAGTGGGTCGCGTTTCCGATCCGGTGGTAGATTCTGCGAAGCACTGCTCTTGCTAGGGTCAGTGTTAGCAACACTCCGGTTTGAGCCCCGTGAGCTCACCTACACACGTTAGGGTGAAGCTGAAATAGCCTCTTAAGGCTATCAGCATAAGTAGGAAAAAAAAAAAGAGAAAAGTTATTTGCCAAATATGTAGGTACTAATGTTTCTAAAAAATAGTACACACGCACATTTAACAAACCTCAACTATAAAAAAAAAAGTATTTGAAATTCTAAATTCGAACTGCTAATAACATTCAAAACGTCTAATTCAGTTTCACACCTCAGTCGGCAAGTGGCCGCCCCGTAATGGACACTGCTCCATTGAGTCCGGCTTCCACAACACTCATAATGGCTCGCCGGGAACTCAGATTCGAGCACCAATTAATTATTTCATTGTACTATGAATAATCCGGCTGCCCTCGAGTGCTATTAACTGACGGTCAGTTCCTTAGAGGTTTATATTAAATGCGCCTTAGGTACGGGTTAGTTTGCATTGGTCGGTTGTTATGAATTATCATTAAATAGTGGCGGAATGCTGTAGGCGTTTTAACGGTTTGATTCGAGTTGCTATTGCGAGTGGAGATCGGTATTAATTACAAGCATTTGTTTCTGTTTATAAATATTAGGGTTGGTTTTTTTATTTCGATTTATTTATTATGTCTACATGACGAAAGTTGACATTATCGACGTATTTTTGTTAATTTTTATTTTTTTATTATTATTTATAGACCAAACAAATATATAAAATACTTTGAACAGTTAGTGTTAAATGTTCAAAGGAAACTGTTTCTCGAATGCATCTACTATCGAATAAGAGTCCCGACCCCCTGAGAAGATCAAGAGAAAGAGAGCATTCACAATAATATAGCAGCATAGTATTTTTTTTTAAATATATTATAAGTACTTAAATCCATTCTTAGACAAATCGGGGCACAAATTGATTTCTCCAATACGAATGTCAATATTCGAGTTAAGTACGTGTATAATTCAACCAAATTAGGATGTCACCGCAGTCTACCCACTTGTGACGTTATTACATGAGACTCGATATACACTTCATGTCTTGCCGCGTAAAATATTCGAAAATAGAATTTAAATAAATAAAAATATGAGACACCCTCTTTGTGGTGGCGTCAATCCTATCTATAATATATTATGAGGCGCGACCGCAAATTAAAATGTTGTTCCATCAAAGAATCGTGAGCTCTATGTCGGTAGGCATGAAGGTGAAAATTGTATGTGTATTCGTGAACGCTAACAACGTTTTGATAAGGGACGTTGGAGATGTTTTTATTATATTTTATAATTAAATTCGCTGTCATCTCCTGGGGGTATGGCGGTATCTATTGGCATTTGTCGATTCAGAGTGTCTATTTCAAAATGCTATCTAATTTTTATTTACGAAATTCGTATGAAACGCATTTTCTTCGACTTTCACGAGTCGTAGACATAATTATAACTAAATTGCAGCTTAATTTCACGTATTTTGTGTTTTTTATATTAATATTTCCAAAGTTTCGAATATTTTACAGTTTCGTGGTCACGGATTACATACGAAAGTAACTAACTGTAGACGACACAATAATAAAATAAAAATAAAATGTATCCGCGAATTAAGATGGTAATGGTTGTTTTAATTATGTCCAGTCACAGAAACTATTAATTAAAATTTTAAAATTATTTCGTGTTTTATCATGATAATTGGCTTGCAAGGAAACTGCAAAAGCAGCTGACAATCCATACATTTTAGAAAAGCGATTATCGAAATCGCCTATCGCCGGAAATTCTGCACTCTCAAACTTGAAGATGCTCTATCCAGCTTAATCAGCGAAGTGTATGATTGCTTCATACCAGAAACTGGAAAAATCCTGTTGGTTAAAAATACCACTAGTGCTTGTGGTGAAGTTTAGGCAGGTGTACGTGGCAGTAGTAGGTACGACGTGGTAAAACTTCAGGTATCTGACTCAGATTATTTTATCATTAACTGAAAACACTCTTTATCTCTCACACTTTTAGAAACCCTTATAACAGAATTTATGCGACACACCTAATATGAGAAAATTCCTTTAAGACAAAAACAAAACTGGGGAAAATTTACTATTTATTTTGGTACCCGTATTAGCGAAAATTCCAAGGGCTTACTCGAAATAAATCCGATAAAAAAACATGTAATCAGACATACTAGTTTCCATAAAAGAAACATGTACAATGAGTGTAATTTCATACATGATTCGCCATAAGCCCGCTCAAGTCCGGCCCGCTCCTTGCATTAAGCACAGAGTAGGCACCCTTATTGTGTCCACGATAAATAGAAAAGGTCGGACACGACCCCTAAATGGGATTTCCATTCGGGTTTTCCTATTCAATAAGGCTATTTGAATGTGTTAAATTTCACGGAAAAAAATTCTTATTTTCCGTGACGTCAGGTGTTTTTTTCTTAGGTGATTTATGGTGACCTTAGCGATAAGATCCCGTTTGTGCATGCAAAATGGTCCAGGTAATTCGGATCGAACGAGGATTTAGTGTTACGGGTCTCGAATATTCTAGTGATTTTAGTATTAGCAGGCTAAAGAGAGTAAGTAGTGTGGTAATGATTTGCGTCGTCTATTAATCAAATGATCCAGGTAAACGACCCCAGCCTAGTTACAACAGATACTTCTTCATCATTCGTACGTAAGAGTTGTAGCCAATCCTTATTTTCTTATGTAACTGCCTTTACTTCTCTCGTTGGAATTAATGGTCACACTCAGGTCAGTATCTCTGTTTCTATGTTACCGTTAAAAAGCATTCATATATTCTAGTCTGGCCTGTCATCTTAAATGCGATTTTCTATCCGGCGCACTACGAGTACTAATACTCCCGTACAATCCACCTAGTTTCTGGCCGGATCTTCTCATTGGGTCGTGAATCCGATGTGGTAGTAGATTCACCGAAGCACTGCTCTTGCTAGGGCTAGTGTTAGTAATTCTCAGGTTGAGCCCCTGAGCTCACCCACCTGTCCGCATGAAGTCGGAATAGCCCTTTATGCTATCAATGATTAGGTAGGGAAAAAATCTACAGCTTTCGTCAATTATCAATCAATATTCGTGCTTTGACTGATTTAGCATAATCAGACAGACCGTTGAGAATCAAAAGTTTGGTATCCGTTACTAGGTGTTTTTTTTAATTGCAGACCTTCGTGGACGAGGTCAGAGCCCACCTGGTGTTAAGTGGTTACCGGAGCCCATAGACATCTACACAGTAAATGCCGCCACCCCCTGGAGATATGAGTATAAAGTCTCAGTATAGTTACAACGGCTGCCTCACCCTTCAAACCGAAACGCATTACTGCTTCATGGCAGAAATAGGCAGGGTAGTGGTATCTACAGTGCAGACTTTTATGAAGTCCTACCACCAGTAAAAGTAGGTGTAATCTCTTCATCGAAATTATCAATCGTGAACTTGGCCCTTATTAAATGATTCACAATCGAATCGCTTCCAAGCCGTTTTGATGTGCACCGCAAACCTGAGGTACCCGTTACTAAATTTCTTAAAAGTAGTTAAACTTTCATGTCAATAAACACAAGAATTTCCCTAACTCATTGCTAAGTACCTACGTTTTTTAGTACTTTTTAAACAAGAAACTTCAAAACTGAAGCTTCTAGTAAAAATAGCACAAGAAAGTTTTTAGTTCGGAGTCCTGATTAGAACCGCAAAATGGACCCTCAAGATCCAAGCCTCGTGTTCGAGTTGTTCTATTTGGATCCGCATTTTTTTTCCAAACCAACAAACTTACAGGTGAGGTTCTTTGTCGAAGGAAAACTTCCACGGTATCGTCTGTACCTACCGTACCGTACCGACCCGTCGCACTGAACGTACCTTTGACAAAGTTTCAGAGCTTTCCACGAATAAAGTTCAACGTTACCTGTTAATTAAAATTAGTCATTTACATTACACTTTTGATGTTGCACTGCATCGGTTTCAGAGTTAATTTAAACCTTTCGATCGCATTAATTGGGTTTTTGTCGTTGGATCTGTTGTCGTGTATTTTATGTTTCGTGCTTTGATGTTTCGGTAAGGATTCGTTGCGATAACAGAGCGTATTAGAAGCGGGGATGGAAGTAAAGGGGAAAATAATTCGTTTCTCTTATCGTTTAAATAGTGGGTTTCTCTAAATGCCTATTCGGGTTGCACAACGTAATCACGAAGTAAGTTACTTAGAACTTAATAGACACTATTGTTTCGATGAAGTATTTTTCGTTTTTTTATACAATAATATTAGGAATTCGGTTGACAGAAGTCTCATTTGTAGAGTATTAAAGTACCACACATTTACCTGTGAACTTAAAATATTACAGAATTAAAAAACCTATCAAGGCTTTTTGAGGTGACAACGTCTTATAATTCGATGGAGCCGGCTGCACGCACGAAAAAACATGACTCATGCGGCGTTACCTCGCTCTGAGGTGTTCCATTTAAGGCTTGAAGTGCAAGCGAGAGCGCGCAACGAGCGACAAAGAGGCACAATCGGCCTCCGCGTTAAACCTTGAATCCGCGAATAAAAATTAAAAAAATTTGAAAAATGAAGTCATTCCATCAGTATTTTCTTATGACGTTGTCACCTTCAACTATCGTCAGTAAACC